AATAAACTAAACTAAACACAGAAATGACATGGAAGGGTGTTAAAGCAAGGTCTTGCAAAAGCCTGTCTTTGTTATAATCCTCAAAGTTCCCATAGGTAACTTTTCTTGACCGACGATAATGGGAAAATGACCTCATAATGGTGTAAACCAACGAATGATCACCGAGATGTGGTTCAAAAATCCCAGATTAAAGAAACCTCTTGTTACTAGTAATAATTATATCCGTGAGAGTTTGAGATGATTGACTAATCCATGTATGTTTGTCAATGAAACATTCCAAATTAAATATATCACACAAGTCCACAAGATCACGGCCACTGCCACCTGGTTCCATTAAATCACAATTTAAGTCACCAAGTAAAATAAGGTCATCGCAGATTGATAAAGCAGTGTCTAATAAGTTGAACAACTCTCCATACCATACTGCTGAGGTGATACGCTCCTATCACCAAAAAGCCACTTCTTGCCTTTCTTTAATTTTATTGAAATAGCCTCAAGCTTATTTGAGGTAGGCATGTGGATATGATGAAAGACCCACAACAGAGGAACAAAACAATTTTTTTTAACATTAGCAAGTGTGAAGGTAAGCCTGCCATTTTGTCCCTTATTGAACCATACAATGAATTGTTTGTGGCTCAAGAGGAAGCTCTCCCAAATCCGTTGACTGAACAGTTTTTTAAGGAAGAGTACATGAAATTAGGCTTTGAAAGCTTGCTGTCAAAGGGAAAGGAAATTACCATTGACATAAACAAGGAACAATGCTTACTGATTGAAAGTTCTACCAGAGAACAATCAAATTCAAGGATATGGTATCAGCAAAGAGCCGGGCGAATCACAGCCAGTAAGCTAAAGTCTGTGTGCCACACAAAAGTTGAAAAGCCATCACAAAGTTTAATTAAAAGTATTTGCTACCCAGAGCTTCATAAGTTCTCAAATGATGCAACTAAATGGGGCATGAAATATGAGGATGTGGGAAGAAAGGCATATGTCGGGGAAATGGAAGCAAATCACGAAGACTTTACTTTGTCAGACAGTGGTTTCCAGGTAAATCTACAGTGGCCTTTTATGGGGGCATCACCAGATGGCATGGTTAGTTGCAAGTGTTGTGGATCAGGCATTTGCGAAGTAAAGTGCCCCTACAAAGCACGTGATGTCCATCCTCTTGATGCAGCTGCTACAATTAAAAATTTCTGTTTGAAACAATCTGCCGGGGATGCTTGTATTACATTGGACAAAAAGCATGCCTACTACTATCAAGTACAAGCTCAATTGCACATCTGTGATGTTGAATTTTGTGACTTTATTGTTTGGACAACTAAAGGGCTATTTGTTGAAAGGATAGCACCAGATCCTGACTTTTGGACTATTGCAACAAGAGAAGCAAGGAAATTTTTTGTTAATGGAATTTTTCCAGAAATAATGGGAAAGTGGTACACAAGAGCTCTTGTTCCATGTTCAAAGAACCTTCCATCTTCAGATGATGATGACGCCTATTGGTGTATTTGCCAGCAACTGATTGAAGACAGTACTCTGATACGATGTGACAATATGAACTGCAAAATTAAATGGTATCATCCTAGTTGTGTGCAGCTGAAAGAGATCCCACAGGATAAATNTCCTTTCTCCGAATGTTTGCCAACCACTGTCGTCGACGATCTTCACAAAGCTTGCGTAGTTTATCTCCTCCGTTCTTTCTTATTGCGGGGAAGCGAAAATATTGTATACAAGAATCCCTTTGCTTTTTGTTACTTTTGTTACTGCAGTCTTTGACAGCACAAATATAGCCCATGGCCGAATAAAACAACAACAAAAACTCATCAACTGTGACGAAAAGTCTCTGCTTCGCTTTGTTTGCATCCGGGACTGGTCCACCAGCAATGGCCGACTTCCGGTTTTCAGAGATCGCATAATTAGGTGTGACGTCACGTGCAAACGAAGAATATGGCCTCTTAGGCTAAAACGGAGAAAGTTCTAGAAAATCAGCTATTTCTGTCGATGACCTCATCATCACATTTCCTAAGCGTCTTCACGTGACTTCCCCTTTCATTTTCCGTATTCACAACGCAAACGAATTACTGTCCTCTGCTCCTTGGATCTCGCCAAGTAGAGCACTTTTGTTCACGTTGAAGTACACAGTAATGCTACAGTTGCATGGTTAATTGAAGGTATACCTAATAGCCCCTCTGCATTCAGTCGCGGAACATTTATTCGTGTATGGTAAACCAGCCCAGTCGTACAGGCCGCGTTTTGATTTCTGGTGAGTTCTGCTCAGCTCATGTTGTCCTGAACCCGAGCCTTATGGTTTGATATGATCAAATCGGTAATTTTACTCATCATTTTAACTGAAGCAAGCCTGCTATTGACGTAACGTAACCATCGAGAGCGCTTTTGCTCTTGAATATCTAGCTATATCTCCTCAAAATGATACTCTCGATAGACTGCCCCCTAAAATCGCTTCCGCTTTTTATCTTCAGTGTCCATTATGAAAGCAACCCACTGTCTTCTGTTCCTTGGATCTCGCTAGATACAGGTTTGTTAACTTTAAATCACTCTGTTACGTTATATGGCCATGTGAACGCCGTCATGGTTGCCTGGGTATCGTCGATGCTTTTTATGTTATTGTTAATTCTTACTTCAAATGTTATCGGAGACTACTCTATACGAGCTACTAGGTTATTTAACTAACCCAAGTACACTCTAGAGGGGAGAAAACTCCAAGTGAACGTTATCCGGCTTGTTTTGCCATCTAAATTTGCTCTCAGGCGGCGAGCTCATAGTTACTCGAAGCACGGATACTTGTGTCTTGCTCTTCCGTGTAGTCTCTTTATTGTGAACCTCACAGTCCACTTCGACGTGTCTAACAACCATGGGCCAATCTTATGGAGTCATCGGAATTACAACAGTCTTCGCTGCGGTTCCTCAAAGAAGAATTATTATGCGAAGCCAAAGGAAGACAAGACCATTAAATATTCAAGATCAAAGGAAGACAAGACCATTAAATATTCAAGATCACAACTTTATTCTCTTTGAAAACGAAGTCTCTCACAAAACCCTCATATTTCCTTGGACCTGAAGACAAGTGGGCTTTTTCACAGCCGGGGAGTGGGAGTAGGACTTAAAGTGCGATTCGCCGACTAAGTTGCGTGACAACATCCTTGACAGGAATTTGCTTCGAAAGATTCCTTACGCAAAAACCTACGACCTCCCCGTTGTCTTGTCTACCAACTTACGGGCACTGCAAAATAAGGCCGACGAATTGCGGCTCGTTGCGTCTCTCAACAAGGCTGAAGTGGTTTGTTTAACGGAGTCTTGGTTATCGCCTCAGACTGATGACTCGCTAGTTGCTTTGCCTGGTTTTAATTTGATTCGAAGGGAGCGGTAGGGGTGGCGTTTGCGTATATCTCAGGACTTTCTACCCTTGCAAGAGGCTGGTTAATTGTGAAGATCGGAATATCGAGTCATTGTGGATAATGTTAAAACCGTAAAGTCTACCAAGATCTGTTGCATGCATTATATTGAGTGTTATTTATCATTCTACGGTCATTGGTAAAAAGGAGAATGCAGCATTGCGTGACCATGTTCAGACAAATCTCGATACCTTGCTCGTCAAACACCCCAATCAGGGCTCGAAATTGCGACCGATACGGTCGCCAATGCGACTAGAACTTTTAACTTGGCGACTAAAAGCTCGAATTTAGTCGCCACTTTGGCGACTAAACTAACTTTCTCCCATAAATAAAAGATTGTAGATGAGAAAAATTTCTTAAGTCTCGTTTCTGCGTTTCTGCCGAAGGAAATGCAAATTAAGTCTGTTTACCTTTAAGCTAAAACTTGAAATGGCTTTCAAATTGCGTCTTCCGAGACGACATATTACAGTGGCTTCTTCATGGTGATCGCGGGCACAATAATTTTTTGAAAAGCTTCTGAATTTAAAATTAATCCGTTGAGAACAGGAGGTCTGGTATTAAATGCCTATCCGCCGTGTTTGATAAATGTTTGATGCCTTCGTATCGTACGATTTCTTGCATGCGATGTGACATATTTTCCTTGCTAAAGTAGCCCTGAAATGTTCTTTTTACTTTTTTCGCTTACTGCTTCAGGTAAGATTGTCATGCAAAAGTCTTTCGGAGTTTCTTCTTTAGTGTTTTCATGTTTTAAGTCATTCAAGATCGAGTATTTTGGTCTACCCCACAATTGCAGCCACATTCCACCAGAAGCCAAACAACAATGCCAATTGAATAAGGCTCTAATCTGATTTCTGTTCTTGTACTATCTGGCGACTGCATTTTTGCACTTGACGACCATTTTTTCTCTGATAGTCGCCAAAAGGCGACTTGGAATTTTTTTTAATATCGAGCCCTGCCAATGCACAGAAAATCATTACTGGAGACTTTAATCCCACGTCAACCGTGTTTAATATGAAAGATCTGACCCATGCGAATAACAGTAAGCAAATGGTGAAAGTTAAAACCAGAGGCTCGGGGACCTTGGACTGGTTTCTGACTAACATGCCTAATTTATTTGATCTCTCTCAACTGCCTAAGATTGGTACTTCGGACTACTTTTCCATCCTTGCTAGACCTGAGACACCCTCTCTGAACTCTCCTATTAATTCTTTGTTTGCACGTGACGTCGGCATAAATTTAAAAACCGGGGTCAGTCATGTTGAGGGATAACCACGCGCAACAATCCGTGTAACATAGCTGTCGGAAGTGTGTGTTGAAGGTGTTACGCACATACTTGTCGATGTCATGCATTCTAAATAGCTGCCAATACTTGTAATTAGGTATGCCAATGTAGACTATTTTAAGACTTGTGCTATAGTTTGGATTGTAATATATTTTGTGTGAACGGTAAATTTTTTCAGTTTTGTTGGATACAACAACACCACGTGCTTTGCGGAAGCCGGTATGATAGTTTTACAGTTTTAGTTTCCCCTCTTATCATGCCAGAACTCTGTGTTGTGTTTGGTTGTCTTGAATTTGGTTGTGTTAGCATGTATAGACAAGCAAGCAATTGAAAAGTAATTATTGTTTAAGCTTCAAGGCTGTATGTTTCTTTGGTATTAATAATTTTCGCATCTTAGCGCATACGCATATAGTTTAGTTTGAGATTCAGCTAATTACTGATACTTGTGGGATTGACGCTGTATTTTCTAAATATTGATAATAACAACACAAACTGGGGGATAACCATGCACATACTTTGCGGAAGCCGGTATCGTTTCGTAGATAAAGGCAAAACCAGGCGAGTCTCAGGCTCCTATTGACATTAACCCATTAACGTCCAGTGCGCCCGTATGCGCCCATGGGGACCCACACCCTTTCTACACCCTGTGACGTCATCAATTTTAACTCTGGAGCACGAATTCGAGCATCTACTTGAACGGGTTGAAAATATCTTGCAGACGATACCAGAATGAGCGCAATTGAGTGGAGGAGATTGGAGAAATAGCCAAAAAACCGTGTCACTTTGACTGGAAAATCTGCACGAAGATCGTGTTTCACTACCCACCTACCTTTCCGAGCATGTGCTTTGAAAATAATGAGTAGTTTCTGAAAAATCTCTACACCAAAATGAAGCCTACTCAATTTCCAGCAAGTGAGGAGAAACTTTAGGCAAGGAGAGGGGAAAAAAAGGGCAGGAGAAAGAGAGAAAAGTAGAAGTCGTAAGTGGGGCGTGACTTTTCAACCCAAAAAATGTCGAAATTTTGCTCTCTGCGCGTGCCCGAGATTTTCAGGCCGCCATTTTGCATTTGGATCGAAAGGCCGTCGAGTGCACGAGCTGTCGAGTGGTTTTTGGTAAGTTCGAGCTTTTAAAACCCCAACAGTGACCCGAAATCTGCTGGACTAGCTTCAAAACACAGTTTTCCACAAAAGCTGCGGCCATTAATGGGTTAAGCTGCCATTGGGTTCTATGCAGTCACCAATTTAAGAGTCCATTGTACCATTTGATCGAGGTGGACTTACAACCAGTTTGATTCCAGGTACTTTATGCACAATTTTTCGTCTAAAGGCATTAGAGGACTGATGTAGTTAATGCTAGCCATAATTTGTCATTAAAGAACTTCAGTAGTTCTCAAGTTGCCAAAAACACAGCTTTAAGGTACACCATTGACAAGCAACAGTTGTTTAGCATGTGTCACAGATGCTAGTCATTAATAGATACCTATATGACAAACAACCATAAAGTTCAGTAAGCATTTTGACAAAGAAAGGAGCACCCCCAAAGTAATATTTTGGTGATTGTGATACAATTGAACAACTTGACATTTCAATCATGATTGCTCAGTTAATTTTTTCAATAAAAGTTAGATGGATCCAGTCTCCTAAAGGCTCTTCTTTCAACTTCAAACATGACATATGATTCCATTTATCTTGAACAAATCATTGTCACGGCCAATTAATGTGCTTTCCTCCAAATCTTGTTGACAATAGCACCACAGCCCTTCCTCTTCTTCATCTTCATCACCAGATGATGTTGATGAAGATGGAATGGTTAGAGCTTCACACCCTGGGCATGTATATTACTTCCCTACAATTTTAGGCAAAATGCACTTGCTGAAGAAATCAGAGGAAATAGAGAGTGCATCTTTCCAAAACTCTTGGTCAGGAAGAATTTCTGCACAAAGAGATCCATTGTTGTTCACACCACAAAATCACAATATCCATCCCCACAGATAAAGATCTGGGCCTGAACTTGGTAGTAGGCTTGACATTTGTCAAGATGAACTTTACCAAACTCATCTTTCTTTAAATAAAAGTTGTTTTGGCCAGCAGCCTCAGTGATTGTGGAATCCTTGTGCGCATATGGACAACACACACCCATCCCACAGCATTTGCAGTCAATAATCCCATCAGGAGAAGCTCCTAAATATTGCCACCTTGGATCAATATTGAGAGCACTGTCAGAAATTGTCAAAGACTCATGGAATTGATTCGTATCTATCTGGTAAGCTTTGCGAGCCCTACCCTCATTTTCACAACCCCACCATGTGGCTGCAGTCGAAAACTTATGGGCTTCAGGGTAGCATATGGTCTTGACAAGACTCTTAGCAGGCTTAGCTATATTTGTTTTGCAAGCAGTTTTTAGACTGGAAGCAGTAATATGACCCGGCCTGCCTGCCTGCCATTTGGTACCAAACTTTATTTTGTGACTGCTTTCTGGTTGAAGCTTCTGCTTGACAATCATCAGGTGTAATCTCAAGCAATATTTGTTGACACTGCTGCAACAACTATACGTAGTCTAACTGCAAACACTCCTCTAAAAAAACAAAGCTATTGGGCAAGGGCTTGGGTACATTATCAATTTCTTTACAAGTATACTGCTCATTTAAAGCATTTAAAGGTGCAACAAGGGACAAGGATGCTGGGTTTACTGTACAGCCAGAAATACTTCTAAAAATCGTTTTCTGCTCTTCTGGAGTTGGGGCGGGTGTCCTGGTTGGTTGGATCCCACGGTTAGATCTACTAGGCATAGGAGTAACCTTTTTCTCCACCATCAATTCATGCTTCCCTCAGGCAGAGGTAA